ATTAAACTCGTCATATATATATATGAGTACCTATCGGTATCAGGCAGACTATACATGCATCTAATTTGATGTAGAATACAATGACGAAATCATTATTATAATCTGCAAATCTTAGGACAATATTGCATCTAATTACTCATATTTGTAAAAATTAAATATTTTTTAAAAATGAAAACGAATAATGAGACCAATCTCTTTCAGTCTTTGCATGTGCTCTCCACGTGGCGATGAAATTCCTGATGGAATGGTTAAAAAATGACGATCGATAAAATGAATTCTTTCTAAGATTACTTCTAATAAACATTAGAAGCATGAGGCAGGTTATAACCATACAATACTAACACTACTTTACCATTACAAGATACTACTTTTCAATTTTTTCAATTTTACCGCTAACGAAATTTAAACAGCTTGCTTGCTGCGATGAAATTCTGTAAAGGACTAAATTACGTCACAGAATATAACGTCACTCATGTTAGGTAAATCTAAAACATGAAACACAATCCGTCAGTGGCCCCAGCGATAACTGAATTTAAGTCTATTTACTTAAATTCCATTAATGAGTTTGATTATCTTTCAGTACGTTAAAAGGTTGAAAAGTTTAAATACACAAAAAGGGCAATTACAAATGATTAACAAAGAGCGACAGACAACGCAATACCTACCGCGCGAGTATACACATTAGCCATTAAAACACTGGGAAGAAAAAGGCTGAGAGATACGAACTCCATTTACACCTTTGGATGGCATCATAAGCTCTATAAGTATATTGTTCTCAAGCTTCAATCTTAACACAGGTATTATTCCTCCTGACAAGGAAAAATCTGATGATACGTGATTCCGTATACAGTGACGTCATAAACGAATAGTTGAGGAACTGGAGTATGGGAATTGCAGATGGACATTCTTAAATGTTATTTGTGAACCGAAATTATCGTAAAGGTCTACCACAGCATGATTACTTCGATATGACCATAACAAAACTCTAATTAAGTAGATTTCATACAACGCGGGTCTTTAAAACTTGACGTGATACACAAGTCCTGTTTTAACTTACAGATTTATAGCTCATGGGCAGGTTTAGCTGGAATGTTGCGATATGAAATGTACTCATTATTTAATTGACCACAATTGTTTATTTATATCTATAAATCAAGTGATGGAGAAAACTAAGCTATATCTGTGGTATCCATTGATTTAAATTTAATTGAAGTTATTGGTTTAAGCTCTGGGAACTGTTTGCAATGTTTGCGCATCAAATAATAAACAAAAAAACTGTTTTTAAATAGTATTAAATTTTGAAATAATATGAAGGACACATTTCAATATCGATGATGTTATCATATCAAATGTACGAAAAGGATTTTTAGTATGATAGCAACTATTAATTAAAACCAATGGAAAAAGATGTGAACAATGATAGGACATCGTGCTGCCTTAAATAACAAATTAACCCATGTCGAATAGAAAGCCATAAAAGACACAAACATGACATAATGTTGAACAATTTAAAATAAAAAAACCGAACTGCCTATTCTATACTACACAAATAAACGGAAAACTTTTATGTTAGATAGCCACAATCGACAACCACTTGGGTTCAAGCTTCAAGCTTGGAACAGGCAAATTACGATTGTGGCGGTGTTCATGTTTGAGAGAGCGAATAAACGTCCTAACCTGAGACAATTATCAAGTAACCAAAATTATAACCAATAATCTCTCCAGAGTCCTAATATACGTTTAACCCTTTAGGGCCATTCACGTTTAACAATTGAGCAGTGTGTTCAGCTGACCGTAGCTATTCCACAAAGTCTAGGGCAACATGGGCAACAATATTGCTAAAAAAGTAAAAACTAATTTCGAGATATTTCATAAGCCTGACATTTCAATCTTATTAGAGTTTCCTTCTAAGTCTAGATAGCATAAATACCTTCCAGGCCCTTGTTGTTTTAGCCAAGGATTATTATGACCTGTCCAAATCTTGAAGTACAAGCACTGTTTATCATACCAAGGTAAAATTAATACATATTTGAGATATATCATTTGAAACCAAATTTTAGAAGCTGTGACCTTGACTTTTGATCTTTTGACCTGAAATAATATAGGATTATTCCCTTTATCTATTTGTCTTCAATCAATACAACTTTAATTATAAACACAAAAAGATTCTATATATAAAGGGTGTATACTCAGCACGCCATTGGGTTTAAATGTATGCTTTTTCCTCGTAAATATCTTTGTTGATTCGTGAATGCAGGAGATGCTTTCTGACTGCAAAACGAATACCTAATGAGGCCTCCATATTTTCCATCTTAATCATAGATTGTCCATCAGGAAACCTATTTATTAATATGATTGAGATATATCCGTCTTGTTAACTTTAATATCTCAACTGAAATGTTAAAATAGAAACAAATAACCGTTGTGGTTTTTATGGCAAAAGTTATGAAAAATTTATGGCTGGTAAGTTAACCTTTCATTAATGAATGATTAAGTTGTCGTTCTTCTTTTTTGGTTGTTTTGTTGGTTTTTTTATTTTGGATTTTTTTTTTTTTTTTTTTTTTTTCTATTTTCATATTGTGAAATTCCAGAAATTAAACCCACAGTCTCTTTCGTCCGACACAATAATACACATTAGTTTGAAGACTAAGTGTACCACGACAATTAATCGCTATGTTAACCAATGTGTCAGTGTGTTTTTATTTGTTTTTAATCCACTTTAACAAAGTTTGTTAATATTAGCAAACAAAAAATACTCGGAGAGTTCATTCAGAGTAGTAAATTGTAAAAGTTCAAATGATTCAGACCTGAAGGGAATATGTCAGGCTTCTGTTGAGTTTTCTGTTTCATTCACGCCCCCCGGATTACTATAACTTTCGACGATATTTGTTAGAGACTGGTTAGCGTTGCGGACTTTATAGAAACGACATTATAGAAAACATAAAAATTGTCAAGCATAACTTCGAGCGGCAAGTTTCCCTCTAGCAATCTTAAAATATCTATCCGTTCGATATAAGACAAACCATACATCTTTTCTTACTTAATTATTTTCTTCTCGAATAACAGTGAATAATTACCAAATATATACTGACTATCCCTTGTAACACAAACGAAAACTTTATACCTGTCAACTCTTGATTATGACGACGTGTTTGTCTGTTACTTTGACCAATTGGAGCTAATCCATGCACCGGGTTTATATGCATAAGTTTTGTCATACAATTGTATTCACACAGAATGAAATAAATTTCACATGACAGCTTCTTCAAAGAAAAAGTATGTCTGCCTACAAAACACAACATAAAAAACTATAACCTGAGCAATACGAACCATTTAAAAATGCTGGGGCTGGGATGTAATTACAGTCGCTCCGAAAGGGTAAGCAGATTCTGCTTCAAATGTGACACACGTCGTGTTACTTATGTGAGAACAAATCCGGTGATAAGTCTCATTCGGCTATGTCACAAGCGAGGAAAAGTTGATGGGATTGTGATCAAGACAATTTAAAGTGAAATTAACATATAAAGGACATAGCGAGCTGTTTTAATCTGACATACGTGAAGGATTGAACAACTGTCTTCCGAATACGAAAATCCGAGTAACCATTTCGTTCTTTGCTTTATGCGTTCATTGGAAGTTATACAATTATACGTTAGACTGTATATACAGTAATTATTATATTTCTATACTTTTCAGGTGACGGGTATATATTTTTTTTCTAAAAGTTGTTACATAATCCAATAATTGACCTTCAACCATAATTGTACTTCTTCATGTATAATAATTTTACTTTTTTTTCCAATAAATAATACTATAATAAGGATGTTCACACCTCTGTTTCAAAATAACATGCTTTTTAAAAAAACTGTTATATATTGATAGTATATAAATTACGGAAATTGAAAAGCAGAAAAAAATGAAAGGTCCGTTTTTGAGATGTAATCAATTGAACATTTGGCTAGAAATGTTTCTCTAGATTTTTCATACAAATAACATTGGCACCGCTTATCTTTCAAAAACTATGAAAAAATAAGGATTCTATAAGATTTTCAAAAATGGCTTTCGTTCAGTGTATATATACTTGTTTTTGTGTATTGTCTTTTTGATCGAGTTAAGCCATTTCAATTGATATTTTATTGTGTGTCTTTTTATGTTGTAATGGTAAACCACTGTTTCAGGTTAGGGTGAAGGTAGGCGCCTGTTAAAACGTTTAAACCCGCTGCATTTATATGCACCTGTCCTAAGTTAGGAATCTGATGTTCAGTGGTTGTCGTTTGTTGGTGGGGTTCATAAGTGTTTCTCATTTCTCGTTTTTTATATAGATTAGACAGTTGGTTTTCCTGTTTGAATTGTTTTACACTAGTCTTTTTGAGGCCCTTTATAGCTTGCTGTTCGGTGTGAGCCAAGGCTCCGTGTTGAAGGCCGTACTTTGACCAATAATTGTTTACTTAATATACTTTGTGACTTGGATTGATAGTTGTCTCATTGGCACTTATACCACATTTTTTTTATTTATATTTAAAAATATAAACGTAATAAAAATATAAAAAGAAAAAAAAAATAGGGATTAGCGGACACGGTTTTTATTTGCATTACATGGACAAAGCTAGAGATTCCCAATATCAGACAAAAATTCAAAAACAAGGGTAGCGAACATCTTTAAAAATAGTTTGCTCTGTTATATTCAATCACAATATTAGAAGTAGTGACATGTGTGCGTAAATCTTTTTTTTTCAGTACAAAATTTTCTTCTTTTTTCATTGTTTTTCAGAAGTTCAGCGTAAATTATCTAATATGAAATTCTTTCTTTATTTATGTTATTGTTTTCTATATCTGTAATTATATCTGTCTGTATGATGTAATTTTTTTTATGATGATGGTTGCCTCGACGTCTAACCCATTTTAATTTTTTATATGAATAAAAAGTAAAACAACAGAAATACCGAACTCCGAGGAAAATTCAAAACGGAAAATCTGAACATATTAACAACAAGACTAACTGTATTTAACATTTTATTTCTTTCATAAAAAAATCAGTTCGCTTAAAAAATGTGGATTTCTTCAAATTTCTAATTCTGTTTATCGTGAGTATCCATTAGACGGCCTTCTTCTACAAATCCTGTGACATTTAACAGTGGTACAGTACTTGCTTGGAGGACAATCTGCATCACTATGACATAGTCTTCTGCAACCACTGTGTTCTCCTACTACTGTCTGAGATACAATCCCTGAACCAGATGAACTCACTGATCCACCTCGTCTAGAAGAAACTGTGTCCAATGCATCTATGACACTACGTCTAGATGAGATAGCGTCAAGAATATCGGAACCTGTGTGACCAGAAATTCCACTTCTTCTACCAATAGTTTCCAAATGAGCATTGTTAGATAAATCTAAACGTCCGGTCAAAGACTGACCAGATGAACCAATAATGCTACCAGATGAAATTTGTACGCAATAACTGTTGCATCCTTCGTGGACACATTTAAGTCCTGACGCACATAATTTATTGTCTCCACATCCATAACTGCATTTCGAACCATCAATACTTGAAACCCTGGTCAGGTCAGATGACGAACCTCTGATAATTTCTGAGACTGTGTTTCCCCTTCTTATAGACTCCGACAACCCAGATGCGCCAATTACACTCCCAGAAGAAACTTGGACGCAATAACTGCTACAACCATCGAGTACACATTTCTGCCCAAGGTTACACAGTTTATCGTCTCCACACTCATAATGACAGTTTCTATTTGGTGCACCGTTGCTTGATACACCAGCAGACCTTTGAAATGATGAGCTACGTATGATTTCGGAGACGGCTGCGCTTCTTCTGTCAGATTCTGTTCGTCTATTTGCATCAATTACATCCAGAGCAGAAAGGGTATCTCCAAGATGACCACCTATGTCTCTTCCAATTGCATTTTCAAGCTTTAAAACCTTGGTCACTCCATGTATACCTAATTTCTTTTCTGTAGGTGTATAGGCTGTTAAGAAATGTATTAGAACTTACATTATACAAAGGTTTTAAAAAATGAAATCATATTTTATATTCACAGATCGATCAGTGATTAGTTAAGTTGACAATACATATCATTCATATGATCATATCTATAAATTAACTGTTTACAAAACTTTGAAATATTCAAAAAAGTTAAGATTCTCTATCCCAAGAAGAGAATACTTACTAGTATTTGGCAAAACCGTTTGGACATTTTGAGTCCTCAGTGCTCTTCAACTTCATACTTAATTTGGCATTTTAACTTTTTGATTCGAGCTGGTGAGGCTTTTGTAGACGAAACAACGCTGGTCTAACATACAGAATTATAAGCGTGGTGAGTTTTTAAGGTATAATTCTACCTTAACTACATCAGAAAATTTTGTTTTAAAAGATATTTCATCAGATATATCAAACTCATAATTTGTTACGCTAGACGTGAGTTTCGTTTAAATGGAGCTCATAATAAGTGGCGCTTCTATCAAAGCAATTTCAACGCCAATTCAAAAACAACATATTAATCATGAGAAAGCGAATCTAGTATAGTTCTTACCGGCTACTGTCAGGATGGTCAATGCAAATGACAATATTATGGTTTGAAATCCAATCATCTCCAAGAATCTGAAATATACAGGATAAATTTTAAGTGAGAAAAATAATTCTAAATCAGTCATTTGCAAAAAAATGATTTTTATTTCTTTAGACCTCCACGCCATATACGTTTGAAAAAAAAGATTATAGAAATTTATAGATCCGGTTGTGCTTGTCTTTTTTATACTCCGTTCATTGCTTAATGAATAAATAAAGAAAAAAACAATAGTAGAGAAAATAACTGTCAAAGTTAAAAGTTGAGACAACCAGAACAATAAAAACCGACTTAAAAGTTACAAAGGTCTAACTATACGCAGAATTTCGACCAAAATGTTTCAAAGAAATTGAAGGAAATTAATATATGTTCACACTTACTGTGTACAACATGTAGTAAAATATGGAGTTTTAATATGTTAGAAAATATGTATTGGAATTATCTATTAACCTTAAATGATAGAGAATGATCCATTCGTTAGCAAATAAAAATATAGGTTTAAACCAAAACGATTGCAATAGAACCACATACACCGATTTCAAAATCTTACATAGTACTAGTATTAAAGTTATGGGAAAATGTACTATCTCACTTTACATTTCGGTATTTTCCAAAATTTATTTAAGATAGGAAAAATTGTAATTCCATACTTTTAATTAAGTCCAACATTTATTTCTGGAGTATACAAACTTAATAAGAAAACGCTTTCGATTGTTAAACATGAAACATGTGAAGCAATAGTTGGATACTTGAACAAACGTTAAAAAACGTAATATCTTATTTAATTGACTATTTTCATATTACCGACTTTTGACTCCGGATCATATAATTTGTTGACTGGTTACCTTGGACATCATGGTACCAAGTCAGGTCAGAGCAAGCTAAAGAAGTAAAACCAAGCGTTCAATCGGTACAATTTTGGGGGGAAATTACCTGCTTAACATTTTTTTTTTCACTACAAAATCATCGGAAAACAATAAACTTTCCCCTCAAATTACACCGATTATATGTTTGATTTTACTTGTTTTGGTTGCTCTTACCTGACCGAGTACCATGATGTCCAAGGTAACCAGCTCAGCCGACAAATTATATAATCCGGAGTCAAAAGTCGGTAATATGAAAATAGTCTATTGCAGAAACAATGAAAAATGTTCTGTATGATCTTTTATATTTTTTTTTACCCTTCCGGAGCACCTGAGATCACCCCCAGTTTTTGGAGGGGTTCGTGTTGCTTAGTCTTTAGTTTTCTATGTTGTGTCATCTGTACTATTATTTGTCTGTTTGTCTTTTTATTTTTGGCCATGGCGTTGTCAGTTTGTTTTCGATCTATGAGTTTGACTGTCCCTCTGGTATCTTTCGTCCCTCTTTTATAAAATCTTGTTTTTTAAGAAAGTTTTTTTTTATTAAAGAACAAGTGCTTTTCTTGCTAATTCCATAGTCCTTTTGTTTTGAAAATTTTACCGTTTTGTATATAGCATATATGATTAAAATAATGATTTTATAAAGTAATTACTTTGTACCAAATTATAAGCCTTGCATCTTTGACGAATTTGTAATCGTTTTGTTCAATTCAAATATATTTATTAATACATTAACAAGACACGTTAAAATTAAAGCAATATAAAGTTTAAAAGTAATAGGTGTACAAATTATCAATTCTTAGTAATTTAACACTAAACTTTAGAAGTCTTACCTTATTTTGAAGCAGTTATAAGTTTTTCGAATGAATGTATAGTGTTTTCCTACTACAGAATTGTTCTTTTATACCATCTCAATTATTTTGTTTGTTATTAACAAGCAAACAAGGAAATATTAACTAAACCGCAAATGATGAATACTGTAATTATCATTTTGATTTAAATGTCAAATGCAACTTTTAAAATATAGACAGTATGTAAATAAAAAAACGTATACATATTTAATGGGTTAAAATACACATTATGTTTCCTCTTGCAACACACTTTGTTTTATTATTACATCATAGTATATGGCTATATTACAAAATGATGTTTTGACGTATTTATAATGTACTTAAATACACAAACTATAAATAAGGTAGTAGCAGGAAACCTGTACAGTTTTAATAAACAGATAGTACTGTTTTTATTTCCTGAAAAAAAGTAACCAACTTACCTTAAACAATGTTTTTGGATATATTTATGCTCATAAGATAATTGAATGGATAGCTTTAATGGTCAATGATAATATTATGATTTTCCCCCACTTGATAATTTCTGAACAATGAAAACAGGGGTTAGATTAAAAAAAAAACATCCAAAACATTAAAAGAAAACGTGTAAACTTAATCTCTCGATTGATTTTTACAACCACCTTATTGGTGAATTTTCGTCTCTGAGAGTATCAACAGGCATGTAGTCAGCACACTTGTACCGACACGAACTACCGTTGAGAGGTTCATTTTCTGTAAATTTAATGCTCATACAATGTTGAAGTAATACGAAGCACTTTGGGTTGCATTTATAGTCAAAGCAGTAAAATTAATAATGCAAAAAATCTAAACTCGGTGTTGGAGCTAGACATTTGCTATAGACCATTTCTCTATTTGTGAAATACCATATATATTGACCACTAGATGCTGTGTTCAACTGATTTGTTACGTATATAAAATACATATCTTTTGTTTTGTATTCATTTTTATGGCCATATTAAACACGCAGTTGATAAGCATTAAAGATTATTGGATATAATTATGCACGCCGTACGCGCGTTTCTGCTCAAAAAGACTCATCAGTGACGCTTGAATAAAAAGGTAGAAATTAAATAGTATCTCAAGTCTGGTTTTAATCTGCCTTCTTTGCTTGATGTTGGAAAGTTGAGATCATGTAACATTTCAGATACGCTTTAAGTGTTGTAATACGTGTCACACGCATATCATGCAGCTTTTCTTCCGCATAATGCAATTCCTTTATATTAACTGATATGAATGGATACCAAACTGTGAAACATTTTTCTAGTTTTGGTCTGAATATCGTTTGATTAACTCTTTCCTTTATTATCATTTAGAATTATGTTTTAGTTTTGCGTGGCAAAACAAATTGACCGATTTGCTCTTGCTGTTATATATCTGTGCTCTATTTTAGATCTGAAGAGAGTGTAATTCTTAGATTTTTTAAACATTCGACTTGTTCTAGAATGTTTTCGTAGAATGTTATTTCATTTTCTTAGTTGAGATTATGCGGCTGTTTCAAGTGACAGGATGCTTCTGTATCAAAGCTGATTTGTGTCTTCATAGCAGCTTAAATCAATCCTTTTGATAGGCGATACGCCGGTAAATGATGCTGTTGTCTACAAAAGGTCTAAACTGACTGTTGGTAAGGTAACACAAACCCCGACAAAAACCAGGCGTAATCTCAGGTGCTCTGGTAGGGTAAGCAGATCGTGCTCATGTGGCACAAGTTGCATTGTTCAAGTACAAACCCGCTAATAAGTGATAGGTCACTTTCGGGGACAGGATTTTTGTTACAAATACTTCATTTTATCCAATTAAAGGGCCCGTTTCTGAGCATATACATATATATATATATCTAGTATTAACCAAGAGTCTATCCTAAATTGAGGTAAATTATATGGCCTTCCAAATACCGTTTCGACTCCTAACATCACTGAAGAGACATTAATTGTCGAAATCCGGATATGGTGTACAAAAACCTTTGCACCTTTTGTTTGCGGTATACCATCTTTTCTGCAAGTTTATTGTTTTCTGTTTGGTATTAAATTAATAGTTAAGATCCATTTTGTTACATCTGGTGATACGTTTATTTGGCAGTCGCCAATGGTAGTCAGCAGGGTTTAGGAACATCCGTTGTTCGACCTGCTAGTCAAATGCGTTTTGTTAAAATATACTTTTTCACTTTTTTGGTCTTTTGGAAATTGTTGTTTGTGCTGTATTTAAACCCCTCTACCAAAAAATTTGTTTTGCAAGCACACGTATAAAAATTGCGGTTTTTATCCA